GATCATAGACTCTAGGAACTCCACAAAAAATAGTTGGTTTTAACACAAGAAGATCCTTGATCAAGTATCTGATGTCCTGTGAGTTAGAAAGAAAATGTTGCTTAAAAATTTCCACAGTAAATGCCCTGAATTAGAATCCTTATTTAGCTGAAGAAATTCAATAATAAAATATTGATCTTACGCCTTCCCAAAATCCTATTGAAGAACCCTGGGAAACACAGTAAGTCTCAATTATTTGATCAAATATATGAGCTAGTGGAAGGAAGGAGAAGTATACATCCTCTTCCGAACCCTGCAGAGAGAAAATATTAGTTAACGATTGGGTTCATTTCCTGGCCGGAGGAGAAAACAGGATAATGCTTCGTCCATTTAAAGTACTTTTACCTGTTTGTTAATCTCTAGAAGAAGTTTATCCATAGATAAAACTTCTGCAATGAAAGCACCATTATTTAGTGTGACACCTTTCGGTTTTCCTCTTGTTCCACTGGTATATATTATCATGCATGTGTTTGTCTTCTGCTTTGGAGGAAGATCACCATCCAAATTTCCCTGCAGTAGTGCCTAAAATTAGTGGACATTATTCATTCAAAAAAGTTATTAATCAATGTTTTATTGTAACCACTGAAGCAAATTCTGCCCAGGAGAAGCAGGCTACACCAAGTTCCTCAGCTGCCTCCTTTTGCTTGTCCGAAATCATTCCAAAACTTACAATAGCATAAAAAATGTTACAGTTCACTTAATATAACTTGCACTTACAAGAAGGGAACTAAAAAACCAAGAAATAGTAACCTCAGAAATAGCAATTTCACCTACTTTTTAGATGTGATGTACATTTGGATAGACATGTCAGGATCTGCAGAAACATCCATCAGACCAAAATACTTAAAAGAAAAAAAAAACCTTGATTTTCCTTTCAAAACACATACATAATTCAATAAGCTATTTTCTTATGGGGTGATGATACAAGAGAGAATTTTAGCTCCAGGATGATCTATACCACATGGAATTAGCCATGCATCGCAATCTTTATTTAGGAATCATGAGATTAGGTAGATAACTAGCATCCAAAAAGCAGTTTATTTTATTGAATCTATACAACTTGCTTTATATGAAATTGAAAAGGAGTAAATATACAGCTGTGTAAAAGAGAACATATGGCTGGTAGCTTGCTCTCTTGAACAAACGCTGTGGAAACTTCAGCATGGTTGATTAT